GTCGAAGTTTGCCAAGGATCCAGTTTGGTTACACGCGCACGAAAGTAAAAAGCAGCGTTTTCTATATCCGCGGAACAACACGGGAGATTTTCCTATCCGCAAGTCGGAGGAACACGCGACACGTAGACGCTTTATAGACACGTAAAGCCCTTCGGCGGCTTTAAACTTTCTTTTAGAAGGGATTCGTGCTTTCAGCTTCAAATTTCTGCTTCCCTTTCAATAATCGATCTGCCGATTGTTCTTAGCTGGGTATAGTGGTTCACGAAATTACTCTGAACATCTGAATATATCTTTCATGGATGTTTCACTTGCGTCGAAACATTTCGGTGTTATGACCATCACTATTAGTCCGTGAATTTTTCAAACTCCATATTTTTTGTTTTTCTTTTTTGAACGTATGATTTGAGAAAAACTGTCTTGCGTATCAAATATATGGTGTCGTGAATCATTCTGCATTCAAAGTTTTGCATCCCACGAAATATTTTGCACGAAATGAAAGCTTTTGATTGTTGATACAACTTATACGCTGGCAAGCAGAAAATATTCGAGCAAACGCAACGAGAGACGTACACGTACACACACGCACACACATATACATATGCACGCACGCACGCGTGGTGAAATACCACGCTTTTTGAGGGGAATATTTTTCATGCTTTGTCTCACGATCCATTTCGTGTAGCAATTCGTCGCATGTCGCAACTTTCAACGTAATTTATAATTACGCTCTCGCTTTGTTTGATTTCTTGTTTGATTTCTATGTCCTATATCTAGTATTATACAAGATTTGAAGTATCGTTTCATCATTTGGTATACTTCGCTTCCCTGTTGAAATTGAGGAAATGTTTATAGCCAGAAATTTGTGAGATCTTACAACATTTGTCAAAGTCGCTTCATTTCGGCAATAGTGATGTACAGAATGATTGAAAATTTCTTTGAAGTTGAAAGCAATATTATGTTAGCGAGCATAGAAGATGACGAACAACGACAACAACGAATGTAGAATGCTAAAAAGATAAAGGAAGAAGATAAAAAATCCTGATACAAGAAAAAAAATTATAAGTTTTTCCTATCATTGTAGAGAAGAGTCCTGTATCTAAATAAAGCACATTCCCATCTTTAGGAACCTGATGAAATAATTTCTGAAATTCTTAATATTTTACAATATCTAAAGCTTCTGTATAATATTCAATAATCATTTTTCAATCAATCTATACATCAAACCAGTAAGTAACAAATGACAAACGAAACTGAGAACTAGCTTCTATCGTTATATTTGATCAAACTCTCTCTTTCTCTCTCACACACACTGCAAGATATGAACAAACGTGTAGATACACAGGCGTGTTCCTCGTCCCGCGCGAAAATGTCGTTACACTGTGACGTAGAATTTTCTGCGATGCGAGGGCACATCGCATGGAAGAGGGAAAAGAGAAATTAGAAGTCTGGCGAGCGCCACTTGACTAGCCGCTTCGCATCAAAATCGTCGGATCGATCACCGGTCCTTCACCTGGCCCGCGGACAATGGTTCAATAGACACGACAGAATGACGTAGAGCGCGCGTGACACGCATCTTTAGTTGGAATAATGGTAGGACATTCGATCGTCTGTCCTCTCTTATCGAACGACGAAATAGAGTGATGTGGTACTCGAACGTCCTTTCTAACAGTAGCTGACGAAAGTGCTCCAACACTTGCAGAAACCTCTTGTGAATATGCTGTACGTGTATGTGTGTGAAATGTCTTGAAATTTCATTAGCTTTGTTTGACGATATTCGATCATTACCGCTGGATTGTGGATTTACGCGATAAATTTTCCGAAGGCGGGAAAAGATTCTTTATTTGAATTCTGTCTCTCTAGAATTTACGAATTTAGAAATATATAAATATAAATTTTTACAAGTATTATATATATATATATATATATATATATATATAGTTCGCGAATATTTAAATAGTCAATTCAAGTAAACTCCAAATATTAAATGCAATATCTTTTGTGACATGTTGCAGACGCTGTTCTGTTCGTAATTTTCAATTGTCTCGTTACAACGCTAATGAAATTTTAAGTCAACTGCTTTACAATGAAATATTTTCTATTATAGCGAGTATCCAAATATTTTCGTGAGCTACTGTACCTTGTTCGGAACTTTACACTTCTTCAGTCAGGCTCTCGATCTCTCTTGCCAATTACGTGTTCTTCTCTGTACAGCAGCGTTCGTCGATAGGAACCGGAAGAGAATATCTGTGACAGGGATCCTTTGAGGCGGAAACGCGATACGTAAGCAAACGATTTCACTTCAAAGCTAGCTCTCGACCTTGTCCTCGAACGGATCAGTCGGTTGCTCGTTACTTTACAGACACGGAATTTATTTGAGCAGTATGTCGATCGAACACGAATTAGATTACAACTGTCTTTGCCATAGCGAGCAGCTCGTAATCAGACTATTGTTCATTTAGTAGCACATCATGCGATATTAGAATAATCTTGGCGTATTTAGGTTGAACGTAATAATCCTTAACCGCGGTAACGATTTTCCTGAATTTTCAGTCGATGATTAATTCAATGAATTCCTGCCGAATCTTCTTATCTAAATGTGAATCTTTAAAGTAGAAGTTTCAGAGTGCTTATCTTTGAAACAAGTCTGAATATTTATTATTACACAAAGTAACGATTAAAAACATGGACGTCTACAGTTAAAGGATAAATTGATATCTTATAACTGAAGTCTCTTCGATTGTATTGTAATCTATATGTCCAACATCTTCTTCTTACACGATTTTCACCATTGTCAAATAATACACAATAAATTTTGACGTTCGGTATTAATCAAGCTGCTGGTGTAGTGGTCGATGTCAGTGCGCTTATATAAACGCAAAAATTACCGGCTGCATTCTGAGCTATCAAGTGAACATCAGCCGTTGATCTAATAATACCTCGAATCGAGAAACTTCATTCGGTTCACGACGGTTGTTCTCGAATAAATCGCGTTCGTATTATTATTCGATATAAGTCGAGATATAAGCGTATCAATAAACCGTGTAGTGTCCA